TTCGAAGTATGATACCCAGCAGAATCGTACTACAGTATGTTCGCTATTGTGAAGAGACAAACTTTCGTCCATTTAGCAAAAGCACAATGCATCGAATACTATCTGAATGCAGTGCTACGGTGAGAAGGTCTCTTCAAGGCCTCGACTACTTTTCTGCTGATGGTACAGGAGCGTTTAATGATCTACTGGCATTAGTTCCAAAACTGGTTGATTTTGGTGCCGAGAGGGATTGGGGAAGGAGGACAATGGAAGCTCTGAAGGCAGCTAAACTCTACTTAAAGGGAGATTATAAGGTACTTCCTTTAGACGACTCCATCACAACAATGTACACATCACAATTGTTGTACATGATGTCACAATTACTCATTTTAAATTTATCGTAAACGTTGTTATACAAATCACTATACGCGATAATTGTGTGATTTCAGCCAGCATTATACATCAATACAATTATAAGTGACTTTGCATGCTTTTTGTCGTTTTACACGTATAAATGTATGTCTTTGTAGGTGCATCTGGAGAAAGCTGCAGAAGCTGCAGATCACTGTGTTTTATTCTCCCTCAGTGATGAATGTGATCCAGATTTTAAGATGACTTGCAAACATCAACATCAGGCAACGTGTGACCAGTGCTTAGCTCTTAGTGAAGCTTTGAAGGGAATTGAAAGGTGCGCCAAAGATTGTCGTTACCCATCAGATGACGAACAAGATGAAGCAGTTTATACCATACAGTCTGCCACGCTTGCCATCCAGTCATGGAAATGCCACATAATGCGTTCTTGGAATCAAGACCAAGCGCGTTTTGATATTCTTGAAATCATTGATGAGAAAACGGTTTTGATTGTCAACGACTGGGCGATGAATTTTCTACCCCAGAAGTACAGGTCTGACTGGTTTGGTAAGCGTGGCATCTCTTGGCATATCTCTGTTGTGTATCGGCGACTTGAAGGGAAGATAGAGTGGCAAGGATTCGTCCATGTTATACAATCGTGCAGGCAAGATAGCCCAGCTGTTGTCTCTATCATGCAAGACGTGCTGCAGACCTTGAAGCAAGAACACCCAGACATCGACACTGCTTACCTCCGTCAAGACAACGCCGGTTGCTACCATTCGGCCACAACGATCCTGTCATGTCCAGAAATTTCAAGAACTACAGGTGTGAACGTAAAACGCCTGGATTTCAGTGATCCACAGGGCGGCAAAGGAGCCGCAGACCGCCTGGCAGCAACTTGTAAGTCCCATATCCGAGTGTATATCAATGAAGGAAATGATGTTGTCACTGCAAAACAGCTTGAAGATGCCCTTATTTCTCAAGGTGGCGCACAGGGTGTTCGAGTTGTTTCCCTGCAATCTATTCCAAATACTCAAGAAGTCACGCAAAAGATCCCAAACATAAGTAAATTAAACAATTTCGAGTTTATGACTGGAGGAAAAATCAGGGTCTGGCGCGCTTATGACATAGGTCCTGGAAAAGTCATCAAACTCGAAAAGGTATCAACTAAAGGTAAATATAAAAAAGTTTATCAGACTTTTGGCTTTTATATAATTTTAATGCATTTCAATAACCTTTCTTACAGATTCGAATTACAAATGGCTTAACTCGACATTTTCATCTGGAGCTTTCAAACCATTCGCACCTAGACCCACTAGGAAGATGTCAGTGGAGACACTCGCAGACGAACCTGGCCAGACCAGTTCCGACCAGGGTGAGAACCAGAGCTCCCAAGCATTGTTTCCTTGTCCTCATGACGGATGCATTCGTGTTTTCCAGAAGGCTGGAAATTTAGAAAAGCACATGGCATCTGAAAAATGCACTAGGGCCCTGGAGAAACCCTCTTTAATGGATCTTGCCAAGATGGGATATAAGCAAGAGCTAGTAGAGGGCGTCGGAATCATACCAACTCTCAGAGCAAGCTCAGGGGACCATAACACCGTCGGCGTCGCCACTGTAAGTGAAGGATGGGCGYTCAGAGCARCCAAAAAGGCCTACCGCTTTAATGAAAATCAGACGTCATACCTTACGGCAAAATTCGAAGTTGGTCAGTCAACAGGAATGAAAGCTAATGCAGAAGCTGTTGCTSTAGAGATGAGACGTGCACGTKGTGAAGATGGCAAGAGACTCTTCAAAGTTTCTGAGTTTCTGAGTACCCAACAAATTGCCTCCTATTTTTCACGCCTTGCTGCCAAAATTCGAAAGCAAACCCTATCAGARCCTGATATTCAAGCTGTTCAAGAGGAAGAGAATTTTGCGGCTGCCGTCAATAAAGTAATTGAAACTGTCCACCTACAACATCCTATTGTCTTCGACYATTATAACGTCTGCGCCATGAATGAGGACAATACYTTAAAGAACCTTAAAGTTGGAATGTTGCAGCTAATGTGTAAAACTCTTGKCCTTGAAGTTCCTGAACCCCCGATCCGTCGAAAAGCCCCGTATATAGAACTTCTCAAAGACGCATTTGAGAAAAACTACCATAAGCCGTATTCGAGCTGATTCGAGACGACCGTTACTTATAAACAAACTTGACCGCCAAGTGATGATCACGTGTCTATTCCGTTGGTGATTGGTTCAAGTCGCCACAGGAAACCCGTTCCTACATCTTACGAAAATTTAAAAAGCAATTTAAAAAAATGACAATTGTGCGGTATTTCGAAACGTATATCCCAATATTTCCCAATCGTTATGCTTTACAATATTAGTCGGTCAGAAAACTGTAGACATACGTGTAGTATCTCTTTGAATTGAATACTCTGGAGGGACCATACGTTGCCTACCGACGTTGTACCTCACGTACTGTGGTACTACTGGATTGCTAGCTGAACTGCTTTCAAAGTTTAAATTTTACAATGCGAATAATTAAACTCCCAGACGCGGACGTTACGTGCCGAGTTTTTGGTCTATTAAGGCTTAGAACATCTAATGTAGCTCACAATTTAATAGGTCTTTTGGACACTTAACATGCCGTTCTTAAATTGTATTTACAGAGAATTTACAGGCCTTCCTTATTGAATTCACAGAGTTTTATGATAAGTTCGCTTAATTGTCTAATTTACAGAATATTTACACGATCGTCTATACTGAATTTACGTTTAATTTACAGACACTTAACAGGCCCTCCTTATTGCATTTACAGAGAATTTACAGGCCCTCCTTAGTGCATTTACAGAGAATTTACAGGCCCTCCTTATTGCATTTACAGAGAATTTACAGGCCCCCCTTATTGCATTTACATAGTTTTATAATAAGCTCGGTTAATCT